GGTTGACCTATGAAGATACTTGTGAACCTGCAATACAACAAATAAAAATAAGTGGTATACCATCATTAGTACAAGCTATTTCTAACATTGTTACAAAGAAACTTAAAACAGGTATTATTCACTACGAAATGCAATTTTTGTCTTGCACATCTAACAGGGACCTTCATCAAATCAGACACATGCAAAAGCACAGACGAAAATATAGTTATGATAATTTGGAACCCGCTCCAAAACTGAAAAGACTGCAACAGATATATTTTAGAAACAAAATCAAATTTAAAGTTAGACAACAGCACAAGAGTGAGACAATCCCAACTATTGATAACTGCATTAATTAATTCAAAGAGAAAATCAGGGAAGGTCCTTACTGGCATGCTGTGTATACAATGTTTTCACGATGAAATATAATATAATTTCATAATATATCTTTCTTAACACACGCATCAATTGTCATGTACTTATCACCCTTGGGATGGGGGGAATCTTTAAATAAAAAGGACTGGGGTGCTCGTTGTACCTTTTAGGGTTTAAAAAAGGTGGGCTTGGTACCCCTTAGGCTGTTTAGCCTCAAACGGTCCCCAGCAGCAGCTCCTGTGATACTCTTTAGGGTATTGCACCAAAAAAATGTGACAGTGCGTTGCTGTAGAATTGGTGTCTTTCAAGGATAAAAAAAGCATTTTATGCTGCGCCCACAAACCAGGACCTTGGTACCTCTTAGTACTTCTTTTAGAACCTCTGCGCACCACGAATGGTCAACACTCATAACAGCACATCTACCTGCAGCCCGACTTACGCTCTTGGATCGTCTTGTGTTAGTTTTAATCCGGGTCTTCAGAGAGGTCGACTGCTGTGGTTTGGTGCGAGGGATAAATTAAGAACCACAGATCATAATTATCGAGAATCCGCCGACAGTTGCAAAATTTCGTAATTCGTTCTATTTTTTTTAAAGGACACTTTTAATGAACCTTTTTCGAAAATTATATCAAAAAGTTCTATTGTGCTTTTTGTTTCTCCGAAAAATCAAAAAGTTCGAAATACGCCTAAACGACCGTT